ATGGCGAATCATGTTTATCCGTCGCCGAGCTCTCATTATTCAAGTGACTTACGCCATTCCGCCGACCCCCAGAAGAGCGGTTGAGGCTTTTGGCTGTGCTACTCGGGGCCATTTTGGCGCCTCTTGGGGCCTCTTTAGGGTTTCTGGGGGCCTAGTGAGGCCTCTTGGGAGCCTCTCTGGTCTTGCTTGACGGTTTCGTTTGGCCTTTTTGGGCCTCTTTGGGCGGAAAGTCCGGATTTCCGGTTCGTGTTCCCCCTCTTGGGACTTTCTTTTGGCGATCATTGATTGTCTTGGGCCCATCTTTGGGCCGTCTTGGTTCTTCTTGGGTAATATTGGACCCCTATCCGGGGCCTCTGGGGCAGTCTTGAAACGGTCTGCGGGGCCTCTGTTTTTTTTGGGGGGGGAGCGTCGGAACCTTGAGAAGGCGAGAAATTTGAAAACATTGAACAAACCAGGGAAACCATTGGTTTTTGCTGCTCGGTGCCTTCTTGGGACTGCTCTTGGGCTTCCCTGGGAGCGTTTAGAAGGTTTCGTGGGCCTTCTTGGAGCCATCTGAGGCGTCGTGTCCCGATCGGTTGACGGTGCTGGACCGTCTTGGAACGTCGTGGAAGTCACGGAATGCAGATTTGGAGGCTCCCGAGGCTCCAGGGGTGCGCCATGGAGCCTGGACCCACCACCCCTTAAACAAGATTTGGTACCCACGTAGGAGAGGGAAACGGGGAGGGGGAGAGCAAAATGGCTCACACGCCTTTGCACCCCCCGCAGGCAGGGTTCGGCGGATTTTGGGAGCTGTCTTGGTGAATGGCGTGAGCATCAGCAGTAACGCCACTTCCAAGAAGGCGAATGCAGCCTTGGCCTTCACCAGCAGCACTTTGACACATGAGACGAAGCTGGACAAGAGGCGGAAGATAGTTCACACAAAGACGGCTGATCTTTTGCAGCCAGAGGAAACGAGGTCGCTCGGGGGGTCCAAGCTGAAGCAGGCCCTCCTCCTGTGTACATGCTTGTGCAGTGTCGTTGGCACTTCGCGGGTGGTCTTCGCTCAACGTCGGAAGGACCCCGACACGCAGAGCAGCCGGGCATTCCAGTTGTGCGTGGCATGGTATTCGTTGACAGTGGCAATGCAGGTGTTGAACAAGTATTTGGTTACCGAGTTGGAGTCTCCTGCGATCGTCTCGGTGGTCCAAATGTGGATGGCCATGGTCGCGATGGGGATCCCCTGCTACAGGCAGCTCTTGGAAGCCACACGCAAGCAGCTGCTCGCTTGGACGATCGTTCCGGTACTCTTCGCTGCCATGCTGTTCTCGTCCTTTTACACGTACGAGTATGTGTCTCTGTCGTTCTACGCTGTCGTTCGCAGCTTGACGCCGCTAGTGGTACTGCCGGTGGAGCGCACGATCATGCCTGTCAGCGAGAGACCGAGGTCGGCGGCGAAATCCGAACCGTACCCTCGTCGATCAACGATTCAGGCAACTCGATGGGCGGCGGGTGTAGGGTTCGGAATTCGTCCATCACGTGGCGAAATCCAAACCCTACCCCTTCCTCCCATCGATTCAGGAGAATCGATGGTTGCTGGGGGTAGGGTTCGGATGTTGCCACCTACGAGGGTCTCCAATCTCGTGATCCTCTCGCTTGCCATCATGCTCGCAGGTGCCATCGCCTATTGCCTCTCATCCTCTCCTTGGCTCGTCTTTGTTCTGCGGCTGCCCGTCCACGGCCGCGGGTCGTGTGTGTTGTTCTTCCAGCCCTGACGCTGCGCTTGGCCATCGCACCGCAGCGTTCCACCCGCGAGGTGGCAGCTGCTTTGTGATGGTGGGGGCGTTGGTTAAGGAATGGGCCCAGGAGTCTTCAGATCCTGGAGGGTTCCTTATCCGATGAGGGCGGCGGTGATATCCATGGCCAGTCCACGATTGGAGTTCCATTGGCTTCCAGACCCTGGACCCCTTGTCGGAGGTTTCCTTATCCAATGCCCCCACCTTAATGCTCGCAGGTGCCGCGATGTACGGCCAAGGCACCGGCAGCAGCGTGTCCGCGCTCGGGGCCCTGCTCGCTGCGCCGAGCGCGCTCCTCGCGGTCTGCGACCGGCTGCTGCAGCGCCGATTGCTCACCTCCGAGTGCCGCGGCCTGCCCTCCGCGGCCTCGGGAGAAGAAGAAGAAGAAAAAGAAGAAGAAGCAGTTTTTGTTCACGAGAAACACGTACCCATACCCATAGGGGGGACGGAGGGAGCCCCACCCCAGGGTGCGCCAACCCGCGCCCACACCCACAGCCAGGTGTTCCTCCCTCTGGCCCCCCCCTTCGGGTATGGGCGCGTGCTGGTCGCTCATCAGAAGCGGCATCGACATAGAGTTTCGAAGGTCCGCGAGGATTCCTTGGAACTGCTATGGAGCCCCTGGCGGCGCCTGCGGTGCCAACGCCTGTCCATGGAATGCGCACGGACCTTCGAAGGTCTCTGAATATGCTAATTTTACACCTCCTCCTTCTCCTCCTCCTCCCCCTCCTCCTCTTCCGCCTAGGCCTGCGCCGTGATGAACAACGCCCTGGGCTCGCTGCCCGCGTTGCTGCTCGCTGGCCTGACGCACGAGTTCTCCACCGCCTTCGCGCCGGAGCGCCTGGCCGCCTGGGCGGACCCGTACGTCGTGTGCCTCCTCGGCCTGTCGGGCGCCGCCGGAATGGGCATCTGCTACCTCGCCGTCGAGTGCCAGAGGTCGGGGGACGAGTGATGGCACAACCATACAGCCGAGACGCTGAAATAAGGACCGCTTTGGGTTCGGAAGGGGCTCGGGGATTTGGGCCGTTTCTTACATTTATATCGCGGGATTTGCTTGTGGCCTAGGCCCACCGTGGCCAGAAAAGCCCCTTTGTCCCCTATTTGGCGTTCCTTCTGGTAGTACCTCGACTGTGAGCTCTCAGAGGTCTGCGCGGATTTCTCAGATCGTCGCTGGAGCCCCCTGGCGGCGCCGCCCCCGGGCGCGCTCCGCGCGCCAGGGAGGGGGGCCCAGCGCTAGTCGGAGAAACCAGCGCGGACCTCTGAAAGTTTAGGGCCACATCGGCCCTAAACTTCCCCTAAGAGGGCCCTGTCGGCGACCTCGTTCCTGGTGCTCCAGAACTTCGAGAAGATGGCCGTCGTGGCATGTGGCATTCTGCTCTTCGACGGCCCAGCGGCGACGCCGCTGGCCTCTGCGGGGCTGCTGTGCTGCCTGGGTGGCGGGTGCTTATACGGCAGAGCGCAGATGATCTTGCAGGAGCAGCTCCGCCTGAGGCCGAATGCCGCAGACGCGCACGATCTGGACCAGTGATCGATTGCAGGGCAGCGCGCGTCGAAAGAATACGCCTGTAGAAGAAGAAAGCACGGCATCAAGATAAACTGTTGGCGCTCCGCGCGGAGCGCCACAAGTTTATGTTTACGGTTCTGGTGTTCCAACCCACTTTAGCTTTGACCACCAGAACGAATTTCGAGCACCAGGAAAGTACCGAACTTGAGGGGTTTCACGTGTCGGGCCTGGGGAGGCGATGCTCGTTCGATATCATTTGGATAATTTTTTGGGTGCTCGAAATCCTCTCTGGGATGTGGTCCTCGAGTGCGATAGGGCACCACATGAGTTTACGGTGGTGTTTCTTCTTCGTGTCTGGGAGGGGGCGGTGTCATCATCGTCGTCATCCTCATCCTCACCCCCGTCGTCTTCATCGTCATCGCCAGTGTCGTGCTCACCATCGCCATCACAACCATCCTCATCGCCACCATCACCACCGACATTGGCATCACGATCACCATCATCGTCAGAAACACCGCCATCCTGTTAAGACGTCAGACCCCAAGAGGGGAGGATGGAGGAGGAATCCGAGGAGGATCAGGAGGAGGAGGCGGAGGAGGAAGAGGGCGAGGGGGAGAAGGGAGAAGGAGTAGGAGGAGAAGGAGGAGAAGGGCGAGCAGAAAGGCCACAGGCCACTTCGATGCCTCTCGCCCCCCCCAGGGTGTGGACTCCAGACCCGCCACCCGCCGCCGCCACACGGGGAAGCGCCCCAGCGGGCGCCCCTTCCGCCAAGGGCACGGCGGCGCGGCCGCCCCAGTGGCGCCGTCCGCGCGGGCACGTGCGCGAGCGGGGAAAGACGTGGGATGCCTCTCGGTGCACCTCTTCCCCCTCCTCTTCCTCCTCCTCCTCCTCCCCCTCCTCCTCCTCCCCTCCTCCTCCTCCTCCTCCTCCTCCTCCTCCTCCTCTCCCTCCTCCTCCTCCTCCTCCTCCTCCTCCTCCTCCTCCTCCTCTTCCTCCTCCTCCTCCTCCTCCTCCTCCTGCCTCAGTTCTGGGTCGCCGTCCCGCCCCATAAGAGGAGGCCAATTGGTGGAGCGAGGGCATCGAAGCGTTCGAAGATAACTGCTTCGGGCGGGGCTCGGAGCTGGCCCCCGTGTGCCTTCTTGGGGACTCCAGCGGGGGCGAGGATACAAGTGACCGTCGACTCCGTATGGTAAGATGTGGTATTGCTCAATATTCGAAGATGTCTGAGAATATACATTTAGTTGCGTCAATACGGGGAGGCCTCCCTGGACCCGAGCAGACCGCGGCACGTGGAGAGCTCTGTAGTTGTCTGTCTGCGCGTGTAGGTTCTGTTGGGGTGGTAATTTATACCACCGACAACTCCAGCGTTTGCTCAGGGTGGTACTGTGGCAGAGGTTTCGCCCCTGAAGGGGAAAATGCGGATGTGTGGCATCAGGTAGGTCAGGTTTTAAAGCGAAAACCAGATTTGCAAGGGACAGTTATGTTTTCCTGATTCCCATCAGGAAGCTCGGGACGACCTCCATGGTAGATCACCTCTGCATTTGATTGTCGGGAATGCTGCCGCCGATAAGTTGGCAGAAGCCGCTGCCAAGGGGGTACGGATCCCAGCTGATGTCAGGTCCAAAGTTCTCTTGAGCGAGAAGATGGCGTTCGCCGTCCGCGTGCGAATTCTGCTCGCCACCCTCGAAAGTTTCAAAGCCGAGCAGGCCCTGGCTGCCGAGGAACCCCGAGGAACCCGTGTCAGGAACCCTGGGCCCAGGCCATCCGCGTTTGTGGTGTGCAACGAGTGTTCGACCTTACACACGCTGCCTGAAGATGGTTTCGCGTGTTTGAAATGTAGAGGTTTCACGGCCAAAGCTAAGCGAAAGGGTTTGGTTGGATACCCCGTGCTTCGACTTGAGGGCTATTGATGGCGTTATGTTCAGGCCGCCCCCCTTTGCAGGGTGGACATCTGTGAGGGGTGGACTGATGAGTCTCACACAGTACATTCGCACGCTGGGCTGGGGACTTGGTCCTGTGGCACTTGTGGAAGCTTTGCGCCCCAGCAGTTGGCCCAGCTCGGTAAAAGGTGCGAAGGCAGACCATCTAGTAGCCGTAGAGTTTATTTGTCGAATATTGATCTGGGGATCTGGCTTAAAGCTTACAGCAAAGCAAAGCAGGCCAGAAGAGCGGCACGATCAATGCAAGGCCAATCCGTAACCGACACGGCCGCAAGTCGTCTCGCTAGGAATGGGCCTTTTCCAATCCGCAACCGACACAGTCGCAAGATCCGTAACTCCGCAAATCCTCCTCATCCTCCTCCTCCTCCTACTCCCGTTCCTCCTCCTCCTCCCCTTGGGGCCCTGTATCCCTCACTGGGCGGTGGAAGCAGTGTCTATACATAGAGAGAGAAGGCCCTTACAGATAAGCGGCGGAGGGGGACCCGCGACTTCTGGAGGTTCGATGCCCTGGCCGCGTGTGAAGGATGCACCTGTAGCATCTTACACCGCGGCGAAGAATTTCTTGAGCTTGTAGGTGTGAGAAAAAAAGCGCACCGCATCTTGTAGTTGCACGGTGGTCTTGACGGTGCGCCTTTCTATGAGTCAATCGTGCCGAGTCGACCATGACAGAGTCTAGGGACCATGGGAATTGTTTACGGAGCATTGAGAAATCCTTTATGCTGTAATCAGCGGCGGCGTTGACACGGTCAGAGTTGGTTTTGGGATGCCCTTCTCATCCACCAGTTGTTTCTCTTCCCCCTCCTCCTCCTCCTCCTCCTCCTCCTCCTCATCATCATCATCATCATCATCATCATCAACCTCATCCTCCTCCTCTTCCTCATCCTCCTACACATCTTCTGTTATTCCCCACATGCTTCGTGGGGTTCTGGTGTTCTTCCCTGCCGCGCCGCACCCGCGACACACACACCTCACTCTTCGTACAGCACAGCTCAGCACAGCACATCACAGCACAGCACAGCTCAGCTCAGCACAGCACACAGCTCAGCTCAGCACACAGCACAGCTCAGCACAGCCCAGCACGGCTCAGCTCAGCACAGCACAGCACAGCTCGTGGCATTGGCGCAGCGCCTAGCAAGCGTGGCACTTTCTCGGCACCACAGGGGGTGCGCAGGGGGTGGTCTCTCAGCTCGGTCGCTATCCACGACCGACACCACAGGGGGTGCGCAGGGGGTGGTCCCTGAGCGCGGCCGCTACCCGTGCCAGTCGTCCAGGCATAGCAGGCGTGGCACTTTCTAGACACCATAGGGGGTGCGCAGGGGGTGGTCCCTGAGCGCGGCCGCTATCCGTGCCAGCCGTCCAGGCATAGCAGGCGTGGCACTTTCTCGACACCATAGGGGGTGCGCAGGGGGTGGTCCCTGAGCGCGGCCGCTATCCGTGCCAGTCGTCCAGGCATAGCAGGCGTGGCACTTTCTAGACACCATAGGGGGTGCGCAGGGGGTGGTCCCTGAGCGCGGCCGCTATCCGTGCCAGCCGTCCAGGCATAGCAGGCGTGGCACTTTCTCGACACCATAGGGGGTGCGCAGGGGGTGGTCCCTGAGCGCGGCCCTACCCGTGCCAGTCGTCCAGGCATAGCAGGCGGGCAGGGCACCTAGGGGGTGCGCAGGGGGTGGTCCTGAATATCCGTGCAGTCGTCCAGCATAGCAGCGTGGCACTTTCTCGACACCGGGGGTTCGCGGGGTGGTCCCTGAGCGCGGCGCTAGCCAGGGGGCAGCGTGGCAGTTCTCGACACCACAGGGGGTGCGCAGGGGGTGGTCCCTGAGCGCGGCGTTATCCCGGGCCGTCCAGGGCATGCAGGCGCGGCAGTTTCTAGACCCATAGGGTTGCGCAGGGGTGGTCCCTGAGCGCGGCGCTATGCGCAGCATAGCAGGCGTGGCACTTTCTCGACACCATAGGGGTTGCGCAGGGGGTGGTCCCTAGCGCGCCGATATCCAGTGCCAGTCGTACCCAGGCAATAGCATGCGTAGCATTTTCTCGGCACCACAGGGGGTGCGCAGGGTGGTCCCTGAGCGCGGCCGCTATCCGTGCCAGTCGTCCAGGCATAGCAGGCGTGGCATTTTCTCGACACCACAGGGGGTGCGCAGGGGGTGGTCCCTGAGCGCGGCCGCTATCCGTGCCAGGCGTCCAGGCATAGCAGGCGTGGCACTTTCTCCGACCCAATGGGGTTCGCCGGGGGTGGTCTCCTGATCGTCGGCCGCTATCCGTTCCAGTCGCCCGGCATATGCAGGCGTGGCCCTCTCGACTCGAGAGAGGCCATAAGGGGCGCACGGGGTTGTCCCCTGAGCGCGCCGGTATCCGTGCCATTAACTCCAGGCATAGCAGGCGTGGCATTTTCTAGACACCATAGGGGGTGCACCGGGGGTGGTCCCTGAGCGCGGCCGCTATCCGTGCCAGTCGTCCAGGCATAGCAGGCGTGGCACTTTCTAGACACCATAGGGGGTGCGCAGGGGGTGGTCCCTGAGCGCGGCCGCTATCCGTGCCAGTCGTCCAGGCATAGCAGGCGTGGCACTTTCTCGACACCATAGGGGGTGCGCAGTGGGTGGCCCCCGAGCGCGGCCCCTATCCGTGCCAGTCGCCCAGGCATAGCAGGCGTGGCACTTTCTCGACACCATAGGGGGTGCACAGGGGGTGGTCCCTGAGCGCGGCCGCTATCCGTGCTAGTCGTCCAGGCATAGCAGGCGTGGCACTTTCTAGACACCATAGGGGGTGCGCAGGGGGTGGTCCCTGAGCGCGGCCGCTATCCGTGCCAGTCGTCCAGGCATAGCAGGCGTGGCACTTTCTCGACACCATAGGGGGTGCGCAGGGGGTGGTCCCTGAGCGCGGCCGCTATCCGTGCCAGTCGTCCAGGCATAGCAGGCGTGGCACTTTCTAGACACCATAGGGGGGTGCGCAGGGGGTGGTCCCTGAGCGCGGCCGCTATCCGTGCCAGTCGTCCAGGCATAGCAGGCGTGGCACTTTCTCGACACCATAGGGGGTGCGCAGGGGGTGGTCCCTGAGCGCGGCCGCTATCCGTACCAGTCGTCCAGG